TTTCCGTTCACCATTTTTTCACACAATTGCATTTAAATCTTCCCCTCCCATTCCAATGCCCCTGCTTAACCATTTAGGCGAATTGTTTTTTTATTCGAACAAATTAACCAACCATATATGGATAGTCCATGATAAGCTGGATGGATGAGTGGCACAATTGGCTGGCTGGATGGATGGATGGATGAGTAGTTCACATCACATCATATTGTATTTCATTTCATAGCCTATTTACGGCCCATTCAATACTCGGCTAATTACGAATCGACGATGCTGTGCAAATGGGAAAAACATTTTGAGACAAATAAATTGAACGAAATTTTCTCTGTTGCCAGTTTTAAATTAAAAATTGGATTCAATTAAAATGTCGGCCAACATGGAACACTTTGTAACACAGATAGTTGCGGGGGAAAAAAATTACTGAATATTGTAATGCAGAAATGTAGGAAGTATACATTGGGGTGGAACGAAAAGGAAATAATTTATGAAATAATTAAAAAAAAATCACCAGGTCTTTCAAAAAATATTACAAAAATATCTCGGCTGAGAAAATATCTCGGCTGAAGCACGAATCTTGAAATTTTGGGTAAGAGTCACTCTTGATTTTTCGAAATTCGTAGTAGCACCGTAGCACCGTACGAAAAGTATTAAAAGGTACCCATTGTATTTGAAGAAGCAGTAGAGTTAGAATTCTTAAATGTGAATTGAGGGTCACTGATGGAATACATGGGTTTCGGACTATAAGTGTACGAAAAGTACTAAAATGTACTAAAATTTGTACAATTTGAATTTTTGGTGAACAAAAAATTCCGAATTTTAGAATTTTGATTGCTATTGCATGCTAGGATTGAGGAATGTAGATAGTTTTGGAAATTCGTACTTATGTGTACCCCATGGTACTAAATTTGGTACAATTTAATTTTTGGTAGAACCAATGGAGTTGGAATCCTGAAATTTTGGAAATGACATTACTATTGCATTATGGAACTGAGGAATGAAGGTAGTTTTGGAAATTCGTACAAATGAGTACTAAATGCTACTTAGTTTGGTACAATTTAAAATTTGGGAGAACCAATAGGGTTAAAATCCTGAAATTTAGAATTAAGAAGACTATTGCATTCTAGAACTGAGGAATGTAGGTAGTTTTGGAAATTCGTACGTATGTGTACTAGATGGTACTAAATTTGGTCCAAAGTGGAATTGTGATGAACCGATAGATCTGGAATTCTGAAATTTGAAAATAAAATTACTATTGCATTCTAGGACTAAGTGATGTTGGCAGTTTGTAAATTCGTACTCACGTGTACTAAATGGTACTAAATTTGGTAAAAAGTGGAATTACGATGATCCGATGAAGCTGGATTTCTGAAATTTGGAATGAGGGTCACTGGTGAAGTGCAGGATAGGTGTATTAAAGGTTTTTTAGAAATTCCCACCATAAGTATATGAAAAGTACTAAAATGTACTATATTTGGTGGACGGCTAGTACTAAAAACTTCAAATTTGGAATTGGAATCAAGGTTGAGGAGTATAATCGATGTAAGGAGGTAGTTTTGGAAGTGTGTACTCAAATTTAGTGCAATTTGAATTTGGATGAACAGATGGACCTGGAATGTTGAAATTTTAAATTACTGGTGGAGTGTAGGTTATGATTGGGTTATGGTGGAAGTTTAGTACTTATGTGCCCGAAATCGTACTAAATTTTGTACAATTTCATATCAAATTTAGAAATATGATTACTATTGCATTCTAGGACTGAAAAATGTAGGTAGTTTTGGAAATTCGTACTTTTGTATATTAAATGGTACTTAATTTGGTACAATTTGAATTTTAGCAGGACCAATAAAGTGGGAATCCTAAAATTTAGAAATAAAATTACTATTGCATTATGGGAGTGAGAAATGTAGGTAGTTTTGGAAATTTATACTTATGTGTAATAAATGGTACTAAATTTGGTACAATTTAAAATTTAAGTTGAACCGGTAGCGTTGGAACCCAGATATTTTAAAATAAGATTTCTATGGACGACTGTAGGATGTAGGTAGTTTTGGAAATTCGTACTTGAGTGTACTAAATGGTACTAAATTTGGGTTTGAGTGAACCAATAGATATGGTATCCTAAAAATTGGAAACAATATTATTGTCGGAGTGTAGGATTGGGATATGACGGTAGTTTTGGAAATTTGTACTTATATGTACTAAAGTGTACTATAATATTACAATTTGTATTTGGGCGAACTAGCAGGGGTGGAATCCAAAAAATTGGAATTGGGATTATTGTTGGAGCGTGGAATTGGGGTATTTTGAAAGCTTTGGAAATTCGTACTTATCTACTAAATACTAAATAGTACTAAATTTGGTACAAATTGGAATCGGGATGGTGGAGATGGAATTCTGAAATTTGGAATAAGAGTCACTGATGGTGTGCAGGATAGATGTATCAAAGTTTTTTTTTGGAAATTCGAACTTTAAGTTTACGAAAAGTTCTAAAATGGTACTAAACTTGTAAAATGGTACCCTTTGGAATTATGCGATCGTTTAGAGCTAATAACTGGAAACTTGGTATGATTCTCATAAATTTCATGATCATGATTTTGGTGGTTTTGGAAATTTGTACCAAGAATGCGTACTGTACTATATGGTACCATATTTTTTTACAATTCCGGAAGAAGTTACAATGAACGGAAGAAGTTGTTAATTTGAAATTTTGGATTTTTTTTTGGCTCCTGTTGGTAGTAGGTTTGTAATGGAGGCTTTAGAAATGTGTCCTACAAATGTACGAAAAGTACTAAAATGGTACCATTTGTAATTATGTGAAAGGTGGTGTTGGAAATGTGTACTACGCGTACACGAAAATAACTTAATAGTACTACAGGGTGTAATAAAAAAAACTGCAACAAAGTCATACGCCAGAATTTTCACGTTATTTTTTAAATTTTTTTAATGGAAGCAAAAAATGTCGGAAATGGCATCAAATTTTAGAATAAGTTTAGATTTGTACGAATTGTTCACCTTTGGCACGAATTATGGCCTTCAAACGGCCAAGGAAACCGTCACACGCTGCCCGAATGTTGCTCTGCGGTGTTTTGGTCCATTCCCGGAGAGGCGCTTGCTTGATGTGATCGACACTTTGCTATTTTTTAGTGCCAACCTTGTTTTTCAAAATACTCCAGACACAATAGTCCAACGGATTGTTATCCGGAGATTTTGCGCTGGCCATTGTACGCTGGAAATGAAGCGAGGAACCTCATTTTGTAATCATTCTTGGGTGACGCGTGCTGAGTGCGATGATGCTGAGTCCCTGTTGGAATGTTCAAGGTTTGCATGCCCAAGGCTTTAATACACCTTCCAGAATATTTTCGCGATAATATTCGGCATTTATTCTGATGCCACGGTCGATTAATATGAGTGGAGTGGCGACCATCGGCTATTATGGCGGTCCACACCATCACCATGGCCGGCGTTTGAGTTCTGGTGGCCAACCGAAGGTACACATTTTCAGCTGACCTCTTTGGCAAGTAAACACGATCGTTTTGTTTGTTTACAAACTGCTGGCCAACGAATGTTTTCGGAATGTCATCGAAAAAAAACAAATTCGGTAGTTCGCCACTTTTGGCCAAGCGAAGCAACCATTTGGCTCTTTTGAGTCTATTTTCTTTCTGTTGCGGTGTAAGTTCTTGCACTTTTTGGAATTTCAATGGCTTTACCTTGAGCTCATTTTTCAATAATTGCCGAATGGAATATTACGATATGTTTAGCTCACGAGCCATTTTCGTCCACTGCGACGAGGGTTTCGATCGCTTTGGGTCGCTTTTTTACTTTTCGAACCATTTCTGCTGATGTTGCTGTTTTCTTCCGTCCACTTCCTTGACGTCGGGCTACGCGACCAGTATCACGGTAACGAGCGATGGTACGAGACACAAAAAGATTTACTCAGATTTAAATGCTGGAGTGCTCTAACGATAGCCACTTGTGGGTTTCCAGCCAAATATAAAGAAATCCCACTATCACCCTTGAATTCCATCACGAATAACTTTTTTTCTTAAAAATTCTCGCCAAAATGCTTTTGTAGGCTGGTAAACAATGTAATGAGCTATCACTGGAATAATTTTAAAAGCTGTCGGACGAGTGGCTTAGAAATGATAGCAGTCTGAATTTGGTTGCGATTTTTTCGCGTTTTTTTTTTTGCGTTTTTCTTGAAAACGCCAATACACGTGTCTTCTTTTTTAGCTCTATTTTCATAATCTGCTGGATTTTCCCCGTAATTACATTTTATGTTCACCATGTTATCAATTTATGTCCACATTTAGTACCAGCCCTTATCGAAAGATACTCCCTGATTGCGAGGGCCTCCCATTGTCACATACTTCCATTACCAAGTGTAACTGTTAGAACTGTATCCAAGTTTTTTGTTTTGTTTTGTCTTTTTTTTTTAGTGGTATGAGAATACAATTTACTGTTCGAATGTTTCTTGTTTTTGTTGTTGTTGTATGTTTTTTTCTGTCTCTGTTTGGATAATTAAAGCCATGACATGTTCTCAAATTTCTGTCATGCAAGCGCAAGCGGAGAGACAATCAAGCGCCGGTAAAATGTAAATATTTTTATGAATTTAACAGCAGTTACGATCGAACTGTCCGATCGTACGGTTCGAAGTTGTCGGTATTCGGAAAGTTTAAATTCTCTTCTTTTTGGATTTTTTGTTTTTGATTGGCATTCAGTGACGATAAACATCAGGAAAAGAAAACCGTCATCCCGTCAAACTAGCGTCACCGCTAGAAAACTTAGTTTTTTTCTTGGTGTGTGTGTGTGTTCTTAAATATTTCCCCATTCACAAGAAAAAAACAAAAAATAATGTAAAAAAACAGAAGTGGAAAATAGAAGAGGGAGAGAGGGGTGTTTTTTTGTGAATCCGTGACATAACTGAATTTTTGAAAACTCAAAAAAAAAAGAATAAAAAAAATATTTTTTTTTTGGTGAAGTGACCAATTGATTGATTGACTCAAAAACGTTCTCTAGAGAATTTATTGGCTTTTTCTTTTCTTCGACATATTCTGTGCCATTTTCTTTGAATTTGGAACTACTCGCCATAATTGGACGGAGGCACGTCTGTGCTATTTCCTTATTTTCTACAGCTGAAAAGTTGGAAGAAATTGAGGCGAAAAAGAAAGTGATTCCAACCAAATTTTAATAACCGGTAAGATTTTTTTTTCAGATTTTGATTCAGAATTCTTTAGAAAGATATTATTTCCTAGGGAAGGTCTCCGATCTGTCTTCTTTCTGTCTTCTAAGTAGAACATTTTATAAACAAACCCAATTCTGTTTTCAATTATCAAAAAAACAAATCATTAAATTTAGGAATCCCCCACTGTGTCCCACTTTTTTCAGCGCGGATTTTGTTTAGCCACATGCGGTTTGCTTTTTAATAGAGTATCTGCCTTAATTAACCATTTCATTTTGTTAATTGTATTTTTTTTTTTTTGGAAATTTGGGTCATAGAATTTTTGGGGGGTTCAAAACTCTGATAAATAATTTTAGGTAATTATCCATTTAACACCAGGGTTAATTGAATTCAAATACAAAGCATTCAATTTTTAGAAGAAGAAAAAAAAACATGTAATAAAAAACAGCTAAGTTAGGTCGGGCCGAACTTTGAATACCCTCCATCATTTTGAAGGAATTTGAAAATTTTCAAAAAAAAAAAAAAAAAAAAAAAAAAATCCGTAAAAATTACCTCTGAAATGAAACCCTTTATCTAGGGCTGAAAAAAATTCATAAGTAATTTTTTTTCATAGGCTGTAGAACCCATTACGAACTCCATTTATGAAATCTGAAACAATTCTGGTGAATAATACCGCTAAAATTTTCAAAATACCGAATATAGGGAGGTACCATTATATGGGGGCTGTACGAAGACGTAGACCAGCACAAATAATTTTCTGCCATAGGCTGTAGTATCCCTTACGAACTTCAAATACCAAATTTGAAACAATTCCGATGAATAATGCCACTAACCTCATCAAAATACCGAATATCAGGAGGTTATATGGGGGCTACACAAAGACGTGAAGTGCACAAATAATTTTCTGCCATAGGCTGTGGTATGCATTGCGAACTTCAAATACCAAATTTGAAAGAACTCCGGTGAATAATGTAGCTACAATCATCAAAATACCGAATATCGGGAGATACCCTTATATGGGGGCTATACAAAGACGTGGACCAGCACAGACAATTTCCTGTCATAGGCTGTAATATCCATTACGAACTTCAAGTACCAAATTTGAAACAATTCCGGTGAATTATGTCGCTAAAGTCATCAAAATACCGAATATCGGGAGGTACCCTTATATGGGGACTATACTAAGACGTGGGCCTGCACAGACAATTTTCTGTTTTAGGCTGCAGTATCCATTACGAACTTCAAATACCAAATTTGAAAAAATTCTGGTGTATAATGTCGCTAAAATAATCAAAATACCGAATATCGGGAGGTACCCTTATATGGGGGCTATACGAAGACGTGGACCTGCACAGACAATTTCCTGTCATAGGCTGTAATATCCATTACGAACTTCAAATACCAAATTTGAAGCAATTCCGGTGAATAATGTCGCCAAAATCATCAAACTACCGAATATTGGGAGGTACCCTTATATGGGGGCTATACGAAGACTTGGAACTGCATAGACAATTTTCGGTCATGGGCTGTAGTATCCATTACGAACTTCAAATACCAAATTTGCAGCAATTTCGGTGAATTATGTTGCTAAAATCATCAAAATACCGAATATCGGGGTGTGCCGTTATATGGGAGATATACGAAGACCTGAACCTGCACAAAAAATTTTCAGTTATAGGCTCTAATATCCATTGCGAACTTCAAATACCAAATTTGCAGCAATTCCGGTGAATAATGTCGCCAAATTCATCAAAATACTGAAAATAGGGAGGTTCGTATATATATGGGGGCTATACGAAGACTTGGAACTGCACAGTCAATTTTCTGTCATAGGCTGCAATATCTATTTCCAACTTCAAATACCAATTTGAAACAATTCCAGTGAATAATACCGCTAAAATCATCAAAATTCCGAAAATAGGGAGGTATGGGGGCTATACCAAAACGTGGACCTACATGGACCATTTTCAATACCAAAAGTCCTGTAGAAATAATATACATTTGAGTACCATCACTCGTTACAGTGATACTGGTAGCGTAGCCTGACATCAAGGAAGTGGAAGTGGACGGAAGAAAACAGCAACATCAGCAGAAATGGTTTGAAAGGAAAAGAAGCGACTTGATCGAAACCCGCGTCACAGTGACCGAAAAATGGCTCGTGAGCTGAACATATCGCAATATTCCATTCGGCAAATATTATATGAGCTCGGGGTAAAGCCATTGAAATTGCAAAAAGTGCAAGAACTTATACCACAACAGAAAGAAAATAGACTCAAGAGGGCTATAGAGTTGCTTCGCTTTGCCGAAAGTTGCGAACTTCTGAATTTGGTTTTCTCCGATGAGAAAACATTCGATGTCCAGCAGTTTGTAAGCAACAACAAAACAAAATGATCGTGTTTACTTGCCAAAGAGGTCAGCTGAAATTGGGCACCTTCGTTTGGCTACCAGAACTCAAGCGCCGGCCTGGTGATGGTATGGGCCGCCATAACAGCCGATGATCGCTCTCCGCTCGTATTAATCGACCGTTGCATCAGAATAAATGCCGAATATTATTGCGAAAATATTTTGGAGGGTGTATTAAAGCCTTGGGCAAACATTTTGGCCGCAGACCTTGGACATTCCAACAGAACACAGCACCATCGCACTCAGCACACGCCACCCAAGAATGGTTACAAAATGAGGTTCCTCGCTTCATTTGAAGCGCACAATGGCAACCAAAATCTGCGGATACCAATCCGTTGAACTATTGTGTCTGGAGTATTTTGAAAAGCAAGGTTGGCACTAAAAATACCAAAGTGTCGATCACCTCAAGCAAGCGCTTCGCCGGGAATGGGCCAAAATACCGCAGAGCAACATTCAGGCAGCATGCGACTTTTTCATTGGCCGTTTGAAGGCCATAATATGTGCAAAAGGTGACCAATTCGAACAAATCTAAACTTATTCCAAAATTTGATGCCGTTTCCGACATTTTTATACCTTCCACCCTGGAAAAGGTATGTTAACTTTGTCATTCCGTTTGTAACATCCTTAAATATTCGTCGTAGACCCCATAAAGTATATATATTCATAATCAGCATAAAATTTTAAGTCGATTTAACGATGTCCGTCTGTCTGTCTGTCCATCTGTCTGTCCGTCTGTATGTTGAAATCACGATACAGCCCATATTATTTGAAGTAGAGCGCCAAAATTTTGGCAGAGCAATGTGTATTGTGTCCAGGATGGTTGGTATTGAAAATGAGATATATCGGTCCACGTTCTGGTATAGTCCCCATATAACGGTACCTCCCGATATTCGGTATTTTGATGGTTTTTGCCACATTTTTTCACGGATTTGTCTGAAAATTGGTATTTGTAGGTCATAATGGGTCCCTGTGCGTGTGGCAAAACATTGTATGTATAGGTCCACGTTTTGGTATAACCCCCATATAACGGTACCTCCCGATATTCGGTATTTTAATTTTTTTGCCACATTTTTTTCACGGATTTGTCTAAAAATTGGTAATTGTTGGTCATAATGGGTTCCAGCTCCGGTGGCGAAACATTGTATGGCATAACCCCCATATAACTGTACCTCCCGATATTCGGTATTTTAATTTTTTTGCCACATTTTTTCACGGATTTGTCTGAAAATTTGTATTTGTTGGTCATAATGGGTCCTAGTTCGTGTGGCGAAACATTATATGTATAGGTCCACGTTTTGATATAGTCCCCATGTAAGGGTACCTCCCGATATTCGGTATTTTGATGGTTGTTGCCACATTTTTTCACGGATTTGTCAGAAAATTGATATTTGTTGGTCATAATGGGTTCCAGCTTCGGTGGCGAAACATTGCATGTATGGGTCCATGATTTGGTATAGTCCCCATATAACGGTACCTCCTGATATTTGGCATTTAATGGTTTTTGCCACATTTCTTCTAATGTTTCCATTACCCTAAGGTGGAGGGTATTAAGAGTTTGGCCCGGCCGATGCTTTTTTACTTATTTGGTTTCATTCCATAAAATTTAAAAAATGTAAAAATTATGGCGTTTGACTTTGTTGCAGTTTTCTTATCTCACCCTTTATAGTACATTTTAGTACTTTTCGTACACCTACAGTGCGAATTTCCAAAAATCCTTTGGTACATTTATCATACACTCCACCAGTGACCCTCATTCCAAATTTAAGATTTTTAGTTCTACTTCTTCCTCAAATACAAAGGGTATCATATTTAGTATTTTTAAATACTTTTCGTACCGTTGTAGGACCAATTTCCAAAAACCCCTTCGGACTCAGAGCGACCCTCACCCCAAATTTCAAGATTCCATCATCAGCCGTTTCGTCTGGGCGTCTCCGTCAATTACTTTTTTATTAATAGACAAATATTTTGTTATTAATACCCCACTGTGCCCCAGAGTCCACCACCTCCAATTGTACAATGTGCCTGTGTTTTGACAATTGGTCATGAACTTGACATATTGCAAGCCGGCAACCGCATTCGCAACTGCTGTTGTTTATCCATTATCGGGCGATAAAACAGCGGCAAAGTGTCTGTTTGTTTGTCTGTCTGGCAATTTAATTGTGTGGATTCTAAGCAATTGAAATAATCGCATCTATCCATTCATCGAGAATAAGTGTTAGAATATATTTTGTAAATTGCGTAAATGGATGATGGCAAAGCCCAAGAGAGCCGAGAAAAGAATTCTGAAAATAAGTCGTCAACGATTCTGAGACACAATGTGGAACAATGAAAAAGAAAACTTGCAACCAAACGAGGCATCATCATCGTAGATATCAAAATTGAAAGAAAGAAAAAAAATTCTTGTTCCGAGCTTCCGTATCCGCATTTCAATTTCTTTGGCAAAAAAAAAAGAGCATAATAAATAAATAATACGCTGACCGCAAAGTTAAATATATCTTAAATTATTTAATTTGTTTTTTTTTTTTTGTATAAAAATAGCGGGAATATTTGCAATTTATTTTAGTTGTGTTTTCTCAGCCAGCGAAGTGAGTAATGGCGAAAGTTTTTCCTTTTTTTGTAAATTTCAAACAATTGTTTTATTCTGTCCATTCTTGTATTTTACAGGACATCGAGGACAAGGATTAAAATGCATCGCACCACACTGCATGCTGCACTGCTGATTGTTGCTGCTGTGATTTTGAGTCATGCCACCAATCAGGTGACAGCCAAACGCACCTTTGAAGTTGACTGGGCCAACGATCGTTTTCTAAAAGATGGCAAACCCTTCCGTTTCATTGCCGGTTCGTTTCATTATTTCCGCTCGCATCCGGATACCTGGCAAAGGAAATTGCGTACAATGCGTGCAGCTGGTTTAAATGCTGTTACAACGTAAGTTCAAGGCTTAAATGCCAGTAATCCTTTTATGCAGAAAAAATGAGTGGGAGAGGAAGAGTGGGAATACAAAGCGAGAGAGAGAGAGAGAGAAAAAGAAAGTGGTATGTGAATTCACATAACACATGTGTGTATATACCCATTAGGGAAAGGAACTAGTTGGGTGTTTAAAGGGATTCTTATGTGCTAAAAGCGATATTTTTATGGAGGACCCATGGATGTTTTTTAAATTATTTCCGAAGAAGCTATGAGGAAGCTATTTTCGAAAATATTGCTTAAGAGAATTAACAAATTTTAGATTATTTTAAAATATCTTCGGAAATAAAAAACAAGTAAAAAAAAAATTAAGTTCGGCCGGGGCAAAACTTTTAATACCCTCCACCTTAGGGACATGTTCGTGGGAAAATGTGCCAAAAATCATCAAAATACCGAATATCGGGAGGTACCGTTATATGAGGACTATACCAAAACGTGGACCTATACATACAATGTTTCGCCACATGAACTAGGACCCATTATGACCTACAAATACCAATTTTCAGAGAAATCCTTGAAAAAATGTGGAAAAAATCATTAAAATACCGAATATCGGGAGGTGCCGTTATAGGAGGACTATACCAAAACGTGGACCTATACATGCAATGTTTCGCCACACGAACTAGGACCCATAATGACCTACAAATACCAATTTTCAGAGAAATAAGTGAAAAAAATGTGGCAAAAACCACCAAAATACCGAATATCGGGAGGTACCTCCTTTCCAAGGTGGAAGGTATAAAAAATGTGGATTTTTAAAATAAAAAAGGGATTTAACTTTTCGTAATCCTTTTTTGAAAATGGGTGGGACAGAGGAAGGAGAGAGAAAGTATCACTCTCTGTAACCGTCCGTAACCCTTTTTTGAAAATGAGTGGGACAGAGGAAGGAGAGATAGAGATAGAGAGAGTATCACTCTCTGCACATATATGTAGATACTTACTCGTGAGAGTAACTAGTTTGAAGGGACTAAATGATTAAAAATACATTTTCTGTGAAAGACTCATGGATGTTCTTTTTATATCCTCCACGCTTCTGTGGATGGTATATTAGCTTTGTCAATTCGTTTGTAACTCTTCGAAATATTCATGATAGAACCTGCAAAGTGTATATATTCTGGCTCAGCGTAAAATTCTATGACGATTTAGCGATGTCCGTCTGTCAGTTGTAATCACGCTATCTTTCGAACGAATTGAGATAGAAGCATAAAATTTGGCACACATGTGTATTATGCCAGTAGGCAGGTTAAGTTCGTAAATGGGTCATGTCGGTGTATGTTTTCGTATAGCCCCCATATAAAGGTACCCCCTGATATTCGGTATTTTAATGGTTTTAGTCACATTTTTGAATGGAATTGTCTGAAATTCTACACAGGGAGATCCTTCTGAGTACTGTACCCCCTAGAAGAGTATTGTCTATATAGGTCCACGATATCGTATATCCTCCATATAACAGTACCTCCCGATATTCGGTATTTTAATGATTGTAGCCAAATTTTTCAATGGAATTGTGGGAAATTCAACACAAGGAGTTCATTTTGAGTACTTTACTCCCTGAAAGAAAACTGCATATATATGTCCACGTCTTCGTATAGCCCTCAACCAACGGTACCCCCCGATATTCGGTATTTTGATGATTTTAACGACATTTTTTACCGGAATTGTTTCAAATTTCGTATTTGAAGCTCGTAATGGGTACTACAAGCTATGACGGAAAATTTCGTATGCAGATCCCCGTCTTCGTTTATCCCCCATTTAAAGATACCTCCCGATATTCGGTATTTTGTTGATGTTACCGAAATTTTCTACCGGATTTTTATACCCTCAGTCATATGGCTATAGAGGGTATATATCATTTGATTCGGCCAAAATGGGCCTCATCGAAATAAGGGTTTTAGACCCTAGGTGTCTTTGGACCAAATCCGTTTCAAGATATTTGGAGTCGATCTACTGAAGCCCGTCCGTCCGTTTCGACGTATGTCTGTCTGGCTGGGGCGCAAGATAACTCTTGAAGGGAATATCCGATTTGGCCCAAACTTGGTACATCGTAATATTATCATCAAACTTAGATCGAGTTTGGAGATGGGCAATATTGGTCCACTACTTCTGGTACCTCTCCCACAAAAGGCCGAAATTTTCAAAAACGATGTCTTACTGCACAGAAAGAGAAAGGATAAACCGATCTTGTTCCAATTTTGCGAATTATAATATTTGCATCAGTGCTTTACAAGTGCGAAAACTGACAATATCGGTCCACTCCACCTCCCTTGGGGGAGATACCCCCACAAAGTGACAAAATTTGGAATGATTATAACTCTTATAAAATGTAATGTAATAGTCCGATTATCTTCAAATTACAGACATCACAAAATTTTTATTAACCCAAGGTCAGGTGTGAAGATGAAATATATTGGTCCACTCCTTGTGGTACCTCCCCCACACAGGTTCAAAAATTTGAGTAGATATGAAGCTCATAAAAGGCGAAATGAACATCCGATTCCATTTAGACTTGACACATCTCAATTTTTCTATCAACATAAGATCTGCTATGCAGATGGTAGAGATCGGACCATTCCTTCTGGTACCTCCCCTAAAACGGGTTAAAATTTTAAATAGCCAAAACGATCATAAAATGCAAAACAAAGCATCCGTTTGTCCTAAAATGTATCACATCACAGTATTTCTATTAACACAAGCTCTGGTGTGAGGATGGTAGATATAGGTCCACCACTTCTGGTAACTCCCCCACAACGGGCCAACATTTTGAATAACCACGAAACTCATAAAACGCGAAACGAGCATGTGATTATTTGCAAACTCGGCACATCCCAATATTTTGATCAACACAATATTAGGTGTGAAGATGCTACCTTTCCCACACCAAGTCAAAATTTTGAATATTTATAACTCTTATAAAATGCGAAGCATGCATATGTTCTCTACAAATTTCGCGCATTCCAATATTTATACTAACGCAAGATCTGGTGTGAAGATGATATATATCGGCCTATCCCTACCTACCTCTTTGTTTTTTTTTTAATTTTTGAAATACGTAGTTCCTTTTGATGGTCTGCATAGAATCACATTCTGAGTCGATAAATGCAAGTCCGTTCGTCCGTCATTCTGCTCAAAATCGGTTCAGATATAGCTGTAGATCTCATATACATATTATTATTCCGATTTGTTATTTTTTGTCTTCCACAGCCGTAATATGCTCTCCCTAATAACGATATTTGGGAAAATATATTAAATAGAGTTCAGAATTACCCTAGCCAAATTTTATCGAGATCGATTCAGATTTGAATATAGCTCCCATATATATCTTCTCCTTTTATTTTGCACCAAATGTGTAACATTATCCCAAATAGGATGAAATTGGGCACACACAATCATATTGAGCCTAGAAAGATGTATATAAAATTTGGTGAAAATCCGATCAGATATAGCTATAGCTCCCATATATATTGTTTATCCGATTTTATATTTAAGTCCCTTACACCCACAAAATGCTCTCCACAACAACGATATTTAATCTCAGCTATCAGATACAGCATATAAATACCTCTGCTAAATTTTATACAGATCGGTTCAGATTTTGAACGTTCAGTGTGCCTATGAAGCGTAATATCAGTTTAAATAGGATGAATTTTGATGAATTTTTAGTATAAATTAAGAAGAGGATATTAGTTGCTGCTGCTTTAAATTATAGCTGCTCTACAGCCATAATACCCATTGAAAAACGATCATGATTGGTATGATTTAATTTTTATAAATTCCCCATAAAAACGTTTATTTGTTATGGATAGCTCTACTAAATAGGCAAAGTGGTGTAGAGAATCATAGAGTCGACCTGCCCGACCTTTCTTTACTGTTTTTTTTTACAAATTTCATTTTTTTTTAAATTATTTTTGGAAAAGGCCCAAATTAAACATTCATTCATTATTAGTTACTCAATTAGTACACTACAGCCATTCACCACTCTCTCTCTTTTTCTCACCTAAGCAACAATGTATGAGATATCTGTGTGTTCACCAACACAATTGTAAAAAATAAATTGTTTTGAATTTTCTGTCAAAATGGTTTTGGGAGAATATTTAGTTTTGTTCGAGCAGTCGATGAGGAAGTTGCTGTCGGACATTTTTATGAATACACCGTAAGAAATATTGGAACACATAAATATATCAACACTCATATTTGAAAAAAAAATATTTCCGAAATTGTTAAAATTAAAAATGTTAAGATTATCTTTATCAATTGAATTTTATTTGACAGAATTTGTATTCGAATTCGCATGTTAGGAATATAAATTCATTTCATATTGATCGACAAATTTATTGTCCTTCCAAATTAGAGAAATTTTCATATCCCTTGATTTCTATGAAATGATATATACGTTCTTGGTCAATATTGGTGAAAAATAACAGGTTGTGATGTTTGTCATTCTGCTTGTGATGAATAAAATTTTGCTCAAATGTATATTATGTCTGCAGGACTTTTGGTATTGAAAATGGGCCATGTAGGTCCACGTTTTGGTATTGCCTCCATATAACGGTACCTCCCGATAATCGGTATTTTGATGATTATTGTTACATTATTCACAGTTTCTTTTATTCAAGTTTCGTATTTGAATATTGTAATGGTTTATGACAAAAGTTACCTATGCAGGTCCACGTCGTCGTTTTGACTCTAATATAACGGCAACATTCGGTATTTTTAAGATTTTAACTGAATTTTTAACGGATTTTATTTTTTCGAAAATTGCCAAATTCGTTCCAGATGGTGGAGGGTATTCGAAGTTCTGCCAGGCCGAACTTACAGCTCTTTTACTTGTTTTATATTAAAATTAATAATAATTGAAATAATTGTGCAAATATATCTCCGAATTGTCTAATCAAAATATTAATTTTTAGCAACAAAGTTGTTTTGAAAACAGAAAATTTTAAATTGAAAATGTAAAGATAACAAATTATTTCTCACTCTGTAAAGAGAGGCAAAAAAGCACTTGCAATATTTTGTTATTTCAAAACACATACAATCACAAAAAAAATTTGAGGCTCTCTGCCTTGCCCTGCTTTAAATTGCATGCTTAACTTGTAAGTGAGTGGGAGTGTGTGTGTGTGTGAGTGTTTTATGCCCCCCCTCCCCTCTTCCCACATTTGTTTTCCTTTAATTATGTGTCACTTATCCACTAATAGTGGTTTTAGGCCCTTTTTGACAATGACATTCTTTCTTCTATTTCCAACCCCATTTCAATTTACAGTTATGTTGAATGGTCTCTGCATAATCCCAAGGATGGTGTCTACGTCTGGGATGGCATTGCCAATTTGGAGCGTTTCATTAAATATGCCATAGATGAGGATTTGCTGGTCATACTGCGGCCGGGGCCGTACATCTGTGCCGAAAGAGATTTTGTAAGTGAGGGGTGGGAGTATTAAAAGAAATCTATTATGGGGGGACTTAATGGAATGTAATTGTAAGCAGTGATGTAGGGAGTCACGGTATTGGAACTGATGTGATTTTCAGGCAAGAAATGCAACATTGGCCTATACCTCGACTCCCTAACTCTGTTTTGTTACATTCTATTGTCCTCAGAAAATAATTCAATTTCTAAATAAAAAAGTAGTTCCTGTAATACGTTTTTGTTTTTCAGGGAGGCTTTCCTTATTGGCTACTGTCCAAATATCCCAATATAAAGCTGAGAACATCGGATATAAGTGAGTATTGTCATTGTTATAGCAAACACTAGTTATGGCATCTGGTTGACAGATACCTATCATCTTCACAGCAGATTTTGGATGTGTAAAATTTGAAGAGAGTTGGATGCTTTGTTTGCGTTTTTTGAGCGTTTTTTTATTCGAAACTTTGACCCTTTGTGGGGGAGGTACCAGAACGAATGGTCCGATACCATTTTTATAACAAATCTTTTGTTGATGGAAATATTGAGATTTGCCAAGTTTAAATGGAATCGGATATTAATTTCACGTTTTAGGAGCTTCATGGATATTCAAAATTTTCACCCTTTGTGGGGGAGGTACCAGAAGGATTGGACCGATACAATCCATTTTCACACCAGACCTTGGGTTAACAAAAATATTGTGATGTGTGTAATTTGAAGTGGACCGGATGCTTATTTCGGATTTTATAATCGTTTTGGTTATTCAAAACTTTGACCCCTTGTGGGGGAGGTACCAGAAGGAATGGTCCGATCTCTACCATTTTTATAACAGAACTTGTGTTGATGGAAATATTGAGATTTGCCAAGTCTAAATGGAATCGGATGTTAATTTCGCGTTTTAGGAGCTTCATGGATATTCAAAAATTTGACCCTTTGTGGGGGAGGTACCAGAAGGAGTGAACCGATTTCTCCCATCTTTACAGCAGATTTTGTGCTAGTAGATATAATAAGATGTGTGCAATTGGAAGAGAACCGGATGCTTATTTCGGATTAAATTATCGTTTTGATTATTCAAAACTATGACCCTTTGTGAGGGAGGTACCAGAAGGAATGGTCCGATCTCTACCATCCTTATAATAGATCTTGTGTTGATGGAAATATTGAGATGTGCCAAGTCTGAATAGAATCGGATGTTAATTACGCGTTTTAGGAGCTTCATGGATATTCAAAATTTTGACCCTTTGTGGGGGAGGTACCAGAATGAGTGGACCGATATACCCCAATTTCACATCAGACCTTGGGTTAATAAAAATATTGTGACGTGTGCAATTTGAAGAGAACCGGATGCTTATTTCGGATTAAATTATCGTTTTGATTATTCGAAATTTTGACCCTTTGTGGGGGAGGTACCAGAAGAAATGGTCCGATGTCTACCATCTTTATAACAGATCTTGAGTTAATAAAAATATTGAGATTTGCCAAGTCTAAATGAAATCGGATGTTAATTACGCGTTTTAGGAGCTTCATGGATATTCAAAATTTTGACCCTTTGTGGGGGAGGTACCAGAGAAGTGGACCGATATATCCTATCTTCACACCAGACCTGGGGCTGATAAAAATATTGCGATGTGTGTAATTTGAAGACAATCGAACACTTACATCACATTTTATAAGAGTTCTAGTTATTCAAAATTTTGACCCTTTGTGTGGGAGGTACTTGATGGAGTGAACAGATATTGTCCATTTTACCACCTGACCTAGTACTGATGCAAATATTAGGATTTGCAAAGTTAAAGCAAAATCGGATTATCCTTTCCCCTTTTTGTGCAGTAAAATATTTTTTTGAAAATTTCGCCCTTTTGTGAGGGTGGTACCAGAAGGGGTGGACCGATATTGCCCATATCCGAAATCGATCTAAGTTTTATAATAATATTACGATGTACCAAGTTTGGATCGAATCGGATACTTCCTTCGAGAGTTATCTTGGGCACCAACCAGCCAGACAGACAGACGGACGGATATCACTAGATCGCCTCCAAATGTCCTGAAACGGATTTGGTCCAAAGGGACCTAGGGTCTGAAACCTTTATTTCGACAAGACACGTTTTGGCCTCTTCATATATACCCTCTCAAGCCATATGGCTGAGGGTATAAAAATCGTTTCCAGAGTGTTTTCAGTCATTGGGAACACCTGAGAAGTTTATTTGACATTTTCGAGGCATCCTATTATACCCTAAACTTCTTCAGATTTAAAAAGGCATTTCATTTTCCCTTTTTTTCCAGATTATCTCTATGAAGTTCGGATTTGGTACTCTCAGCTAATGGCGAAAATGGATACCTATCTGTATGGCAATGGAGGTCCGATTATCATGGTTCAAGTTGAGAATGAATATGGGTCGTATTACGCCTGTGATAAAAAATATCGTGCCTGGTTGCGGGACGAGACATTGGGTCATGTAAAGGATAAAGCTGTGCTCTTTACAAATGATGGACCCAGTGTGTTGCATTGTGGTCACATAGATGGTGTGGTGTCGGCAATGGATTTTGGGGCGACAAATAATCTGACAGATATTTGGAATAAATTGAGAAGGGTACAACCCAGGGGTCCGTTGGTCAATGCTGAATACTATCCGGGGTGGTTGACGCACTGGGGTGAGGGTATGGCCAGGGTTAATACCAAATCGATTACCAATACTTTTATGTGAGTTTAAAAGAGAGAGGGCTGAGAGAGAGAGAGAGAACTTTCCCTTATTTAAAAATATTTTTTTGATTTTCGTTCCAGAGAAATGTTGAACGATGGCGCCAGTGTCAACTTCTATATGTTTTATGGCGGCACAAATTTCGGTTTCACGGCCGGCGCCAATGATGGCGGTCCTGGACGTTATATGGCCGACATAACCTCCTATGACTACGATGCACCCATGACAGAGGCTGGAGATCCCACATCCAAATATTATGCCCTACGTGAAATTATTTCCCGTTATCTACCCATGCCAAATATTTCCGTACCCGATCCAGTTCCGAAGAAGAAATATGGCACCATAAAACTGCAAAGCTGTTGCTCATTGCTCTCCAAGGCTGGACGCCAACAATTGGCCACCGGAGTGGTTATGTCAAATAAACCCAAATCTTTTGAGGCCTTGGGCCAGTTCTCCGGTTTGGTATTGTATGAGACTTATTTACCCAACACCCGCAAGGATCCCGGGGTGCTACACATACCCGGCCTAAGAGATCGTGCCTTGGTCTATGTGGAAAATGATTTTGTGGGGATTTTATCCAGAGAATCGGTTATCTTTGATTTACCCATACCCCTGAGATCGGGTAAAAAACTGCAGATTCTTGTGGAGAATCAAGGACGCATTAACTACGGACCCATCACAGATGCCAAGGGTATCATTGGTGATGTGGCCTTCGACAAGAAAATCCTTACCAATTGGAATATGACGAAATTCCCATTGGAATCCTATGAGGATATAGAGCGATTAATACAACAGGAAGGTTCCCGCCTCAATGAAATCGATTCGTATAAAATGCTCAACGATGGCCCCACGATATTCTACGGTTCCTTTGAGATCAAAGACTTACACACCTGCGACACCTATTTGGATACGACGGGTTGGAGCAAAGGCATTGCCTTTGTAAATGGTGAAAATTTGGGTCGCTACTGGCCCATGGTGGGGCCACAGGTCACTCTCTACGTCCCAGCCGAAGTACTTAAGGTGGGCGTCAACAATGTTGTACTTATCGAATATCAAAGCGCCGCCGCCACAGCTGAAATCACCTTCACCGATAAACCGAATTTAGACGGGCTTCGGAATTGAAGTCAAGGGGCCGGAGTAGCAGATGGGTTTAGTAAGAAATTATATTTTTATTATATAATTATGTTTTTTAATATATTAATATTACTTCTTTGTGTTTTAATAAAAGTTAATTTTTTAAAATAAAAAAAATAATCGATTTTAAAGGAGTTTTAATTGGCGAAGGATATGTTAAAGAGACTTGGAGACGGATTAAGGATAAAGGTGAGGAGTATAGAGGAGCTCTTCTTAAGGTGCCAGGTTTTCTTTTCATAGAAGACAATCTAAATGCTCAAATGTAAACTCAACTGTCAAAAATTGTTCTTTTGACTGATTTTCTGGATTTTAGGGCTATGGATGCCCCTACGTCCGTCCATCTGTCTGTCTGGCTGGCTAGTGCTCACTATAACTCTCGAAGGGAGTATCCGATTTCGTCCAAACTTGGTACATCGTAATATTATTATCAAACTTAGATCGAGTTCGTAGATGGGCAATGTCGGTCCACCCCTACTGGTACCTCCCCCACAAAAGCTCGAAATTTTCAAAGAAAATATTTTTCGGCACAGAAAAAGAAAGGATAATCCGATTTTGCATCAACTTTGCAAATTCTAATATTTGCATTAGTGCAAGATCAGGTGCGAAAATGGGCAATATCGGTCTACTCCATCAAGTACCTCCCCCACAAAGGGTCAAAATTTGGAATAATTACAACTCTTATAAAATGTGATGTAAGAGTCCGATTGTCTTCAAATTACATACATCACAATATTTTTGTTAAACCAAGGTCTGGTGTGAAGATGGTAGAGATCGGACCATTCCTTCTGGTACCTCCCACACAAAGGGTCAAAATTTTGAATATCCATGAAGCTCCTAAAACGCGAAATTAACATCCGATTCCCTTCAGACTTGGTACATCTCAATACTTCCATCAACACAAGATCCGTTATAAATATAGTAGAGATCGGACCATTCCTTCTGGTACCTACCCCACCAAGGGGTCCAAATTTTGAATAACCAAAATGAGCATAAAATCCTAAATAAACATCCGGTTCTCTTCAAAATTTCACATTTCCTATTATTTCTACTAATACAAGATCTGCTGTGAAGATGGCATATATCGGTCCACTCCTTCGGATACCTCCCCCACTGAGGGTCAAAATTTTGAATATCAATGAAGCTCATAAGTCGCGAAATTTACATCCGATTCTATTCAGACTTGGTACATCGCAATATTTCTACCAACATAAGATCTGTTATAAATATAGTAGAGATCGGACAATTCCTTCTGGTACCTCCCCCACAAAGGGTCAATGTTTTGAATAACGAAAACGATCATAAAATCCGAAATAAGCATCCGATTCTCTTCAAATTGCACACATCCCAATATTTTTAATAACTCAAAGTCTGGAGTGAGGATGGGATATATTGGTCCACTCCTTCCGGTACCAACCCCCCAAAAAGGGTCAAAACTCTCTTCAAATTTCACAAAGACAAACATTTTGTACGAATTATCCAGGATCAGCTGCGAAAAGTGCACCCCAAAATTTTAGATTCGTCCCAACAGTTTATTCCAATACCGACAGGGATCTCAATACAAAATTTCAAAATTCCAGCTTCATCCGTTCACTGTACCAAATACAGTACCATTTAGTACTTTTCGCACTGTTATAATACACACTTCAAAAAATCACCCGTATATCTCAAATCCAGATACCAACGGAGATCTCAATATTGAATTTGAGGATTCCAGCCCTTTCACTTCACCCAATACTAAATTTAGTACCATTTAGTACTTTTTCTACAAATATAGGTTGCATTTCCAAACCACCGCCAAATCTCAAACACAGTTATCATCAATAATCGATATATCAAATTTCAGAATTTTATCTCTATCCCTTCACTCAATACCAAATATAGTACCATTCGGTGCTTTTCGAACAATTATAGTACACACTACCGAAACCACGTCCATATGTCCAGGCAACATATGAATAGCGATCCTAATAACAAAATATCAGATTTCAAGCACTTTCTCCAATACTAAATTGTACCAAATATGGTACTATTTAGTACTTTTTTACACCTTTAGTACCATCAGGAATCCTAATAGAAAGATTTCAAAATTCCAGCTGCATCCGTTCACCTTAAACCAAACTGTACCAAATTTAGTACGATTTAGTACAGTTCACGCACTTTGTACACATTTCCCAAACCACCTTTATATCTCAATCCCAGATACCAATAGAGACCTCAATATCGAATTTGAGGATTCCAGTCCTCTCCCTTCACTCAATACCAAATTTAGTACTATTCGTACAAATAGAGGACGAATTTCCAAACCCACTGCCAAAACTCAAACACAGTTGCCATCAATAATCAAAATATCAAATTTCAGAATTTTATCTCTATCCTTTCACCCAATACCAAATTTAGTACCATTGAGTACTTTTCGTACAATTATAGTACACATTTCCGAAATCAACTCCATATGTCCAGGCATTATAACAAAAGATCCTAATAACAAAATACCAGATTTCAAGCACTTTCCCCAATACTAAATTGTACCAAATATGGTACTATTTAGTACTTTTTTACACCTTTAGTACCATCAGGAATCCTAATAGAAAGATTTCAAAATTCCAGCTGCATCCGTTCACCTTAAACCAAACTGTACCAAATTTAGTACGATTTAGTACAGTTCACGCACTTTGTACACATTTCCCAAACCACCTTTATATCTCAATCCCAGATACCAATAGAGACCTCAATATCGAATTTGAGGATTCCAGTCCTCTCCCTTCACTCAATACAAAATTTAGTACTATTCGTACAAATAGAGGACGAATTTCCAAACCCACTGCCAAAACTCAAACACAGTTGCCATCAATAATCAAAATATCAAATATCCGAATTTTATCTCAATCCCTTCACCCAATACCAAATTTAGTACCATTGAGTACTTTTCGTACAATTATAGTACACATTTCCGAAATCAACTCCATATGTCCAGGCATTATAACAAAAGATCCTAATAACAAAATACCAGATTTCAAGCACTTTCCCCAATACTAAATTGTACCAAATATGGTACTATTTAGTACTTTTTTACACCTTTAGTACCATCAGGAATCCTAATAGAAAGATTTCAAAATTCCAGCTGCATCTGTTCACCCTAAACCAAACTGTAGCAAATTTAGTACCATTTAGTACAGTTCGCGCACTAAGTACACATTTCCAAAACCATCTCCATATATCAGTCCCAGATACCAATAGAGACTACAATATCGAATTTGAGGATTCCAGTGCTCTCCCTTCACTCAATAACAAATTTAGTACTATTCGTAAAGATATAGGACGGATTTCCAAACCACCTCCAAATCTCAAACACAGTTACCATGAATAATCTAAATATCAAATTTCAGAATTTTATCTCAATCCTTTCACCCAACTTCAAATATAGTACAATTCAGTACTTTTTGTACAATGATAGTACACATTTCCGAAACCACCTCCATGTGTCCAGGCAAGACATGAATAGGGATCCCAATGTCAAATCTAAGATTTCAAGCACTTTCTGTTGATCCAATACCAAATTGTACCAATATTGTACTATTTAGTACTTTTCGAGCACTTTTAGCACACATTTCTAAAACTACCTTTTTTATCTCCCAATACAAAATTTCAAAATTCCATCTTCATCCGTTCACCCAAAATCTAATTTAGTACCATTTAGTACAGACCGCGGCCTTAGTACACATTTCCAAACCTACCTCCATATATCAATCCCAGATACCAATAGGGACCTCAATATCGAATTTTGAAGATTCCAGTCCTTTGCCTTCACCCAATACCAAATTTTTGTACCATTTAGTACTTTTCGTACAAATATAGGACAGATTTCCAAACCCTCCGCCAGTTACCTTCAATAATCTAATAGTTATTTAACTAAAAAAGGTTAAAAATCTCAAAGAATTTCTTTAAACAATTTCCCAGTTATTCAATTTTCTCTTTAATTAACTCTTCCGCAGGTGCGTCCTTGTTGCTTTGATTTTCTCCTAGGCTTTAATCCTAGCAATTACAGATGATTAAGGCTCTATTGCAATGGCACATTTGAGGCTTGCTACGTGATTCATTTCAAACACAAACAACAACGACAACCGCATTTCATTTATTTTTAGCATAGATGTGTTTGAAACATCCTAAAAGTATGCACCACTTTTTTAATGGCTCTCAAATTAACACACCCACCACACATTATTAAATGGAACTTAATGAAGTAAAGCAAGACTTAGTATTTTCACAACATCTTAGACATGTAATTGTTTTGAAACAAAACGTAAGGACCATAATGTAGTTCGGCATTAATTTTGCGAAGATATCTTCCGTCTTTTTTTTTTCTTATTTCTTATACTAAAAAAACACACAAAAGTAAAATTTTAAACCTACCACCCCCCAGTAGGTTGAGTAAACAGTCTCAGCGTCATCAGGTTAAGGCATTCACATTCAGTCAGTCATTCATTTGAGCCGTAGGCTCTGTGAAAACAAAATATGACGATTCTGAATGACCACCAACGGAACAATAAGCCAAGGCCAAAATGTCAAATGTTCGTTTTTTTTCTGTTCGTCTGTTGTTTGTTTGTTAGAAAAGATAGCAACAACAATAACAACTGTTGCCAGCATTATGAATTAGTTAAACGGGGAAAATGGTTAAATGCTGCTACTGCCGTTGTAAAAATAAATGGCATATATTTTAAATTCAATAAAAACAAAATTTGAGGATGACTGGGGGGGGACAATAAAATAAAAAAAAAATAAATAAAGATATTAGAAAAAAATGTATAGAGTTAATAAATACTGATTTGACATTTAATTGAAATAAATTATTATAGCTTAAAAATACAGTATTGAGAAGATTGAACTACAAATTTAGTGGCTTAGAAGAGGATTTTATTATATCAAATATTAAAAAAATAGAGATTAAAAATTATTAAAAAAAAAAAAAAATTTAAAAAAATAGATTTCTTGCCGATTATCATTACAAAAATAATGGGTAAAAGTCCGCGTCTTGAAAAAATCATGGAAAGGAAAACCAGTTAAAAAATATTGTCGGTTTTGTCGGCAGATGTATACCCTCAGCCACGTTTATTGAAAT